TACAGGGTCAGTGTTTATTCAGCAGGGTAAGGGTCACTCACTGTGTAACTGTACAGGGTCAGTGTTTATTCAGCAGGGTAAGGGTCACTCACTGTGTAACTGTACAGAGTCAGTGTTTATTCAGCAGGGTAAGGGTCACTCACTGTGTAACTGTACAGGGTCAGTGTTTATTCAACAGGGTAAGGGTCACTCACTGTGTAACTGTGTCCGTGTGCAAACATCTAAGTTTGTTTTCCTGACAGCATGAGATGATTTTAAAACTCACCAAACATTCAAGGAGCCGAGCTGGCCGGGCGATGACCATCAGTAATTTCCTGACCAACTGAGTAATGAACATGACCTCATCGCTTGCTGCCCGTTCATATGCCTGATTGAAAGATGCAGAAAGTTTGAGAAAGTCAGAGATGTTCAGACACAAGTCCACACCCCAGCACCCGTTGACCTGATGGAGTAGGAGCAGGTTGGTGATGAGATGTGGTTTGGTATCTTCTCAGCAGTGGATAGCGAGGGGTGTCAGGCTCAGTTCACAGTGAGAGTTTGGAGGGCTGGAGAGTTGTAAAGACAAGCTTGCTGTGAACTCACATCTCTCTGTGAGTGCAGTCTAACCTGAATGTGTGATGGGATTCTGAGGCACTGGTTTGTAGGTGTTTATGAATAGAATGTGATTAATGGGCTAACAGTATGGTTTGGAATCAGTTGGATATTGGGGTGCTACCTGGCTTCAGGGTGCAGCTGTGCTACTGGGTATGGTTAACAGATTCTAGTGATTGTGTCACGAGTCAAAAGATTTAATTTTAAGCTAATGGTCTGTCCCTACTCCAATCATACTTCATTATCTTCGAAGTCCCTCCTCTTGTCCACTGCTTTCTCTGAACTTTTTAAAACCTGGTTGTCTGCTTCCTAATCACCCAGATTCCTTCAACATGGGTTAGAAAGGGGCATGGGTTAAACACAGCAATCAGACGCTACTGAGTCTTACACTGTGGACAGAAACTGTCAGGGTCCATAGCCCAAATTTACACTCGGAAAATTATGTGTTAATGAATGACAGCCAACACATTTATTAGAATTAAGCATTGCTTGACTTACATGATTGTCTTTTTTGATTGAATGGGTTGCTGGAGTTAGAGGTTGATGTCAATATGAACTTTCTGATGGTGTTTGATAAAATACTGCAGAATCGAATTAAACCCATAGGATCAAAGGAGCAGTGCCTGGACTGAAACTAAATCAGATCAAGGAAAGCAAGTAGAGATTGGTGGTGACAGGTTGTGTTTCAAACTGCAAAGAGGAATATGACATCTCCCCCAGGGGTCAGTGTTAGGATCACACCTCTTTTTCATACTTTTTCATGGCTTGCACGTGGGACTGGCAAAATTTCAAAATTTACAGATTGTGTAAATTTTGGGAATGTAGAAAATGGTGATGAGGATTGTTAGAGACTTCAGGACTCCAATAACGGACCTAATAACATGTGAAAACACATCACAGATTAAATTTAAAGCAGAGAAGTTTGTCTGTTTTTCCAGGGAACATTGGTATGGATCTGGATTCACAAGTAGGGTAAGCACGGCAGACTTCTGTCCCTCAGGGAAGTTAGAGAACCAGCTTTTCATAGTTCATAGACCATAGAATCCCTAAAGTGTTCAAACAGGCCCTTCGACCCAACAAGCCCACACCGACTTCAGAGCATCTCACCCAGACCCATCCCCTTAAACCCACCTAATCTGCACATCCCTGAACACTACCGGCAATTTAGCACGGCCAATCCACCCAGCCTGCACATCTTTGGACTGTGGGAGGAAACCAGAGTGCCCAGAGGAAACCCACACAGACACAGGGAGAATGCAAACTCCACACAGTCAGTCGCCCGAGGCTGGAATCAAACCTGGGCCCCTGGCGCTGTAAGGCAGCAGTGCTAACCACTGAGCCACTATGCTGCCTCATTACAGATTGCAGATTACAGATCAACAATGCGATGACACTGCTCCTAACCACCACCTTCCCCACTGCACAACGTGAAGTGACAGAGTTTGGAATAATGAGGAAAGCCAATAGAAAACTGAAAATGAGTTTAGGAACAGAGAGTCTTGGGGGTGTATTTTTATGAGTGTTTGAAGGTGGAAGAGTAAAATGAAGAGGTTGCAAAAAGCAATTGAGAATGTTTGATACATAAGTTGAAATACTCCGTATAAAAGCAAGGAAGCACTGCTAAATCTTTATAAATAACTGGTTAAATCCTGTCTTAAGTTTTGTGTTAAATTCCTGGGACCACAATTTACAACCAACATCAAGACTTTTGAAAGTTTGAGAGGAGATTTACTGGATTGGTTCCAAAGGGAGGGGTAACTTCTCCTCATGGAAGAGCTGGGTTTGCTTTTGTAGTGAAGAAAGTTCAGGGGAGATTTAATCAAGGTGTTCAAAATCAGGAGCAGTTTTCATAGAATTAATCAGGAGAAATTGTTACCAATGGCATGATAATCAGTGATTAGAGAGACACAGATTTAAAATAATCAGTAAAAGAACCAGAAAGTAACAAATAAATAAATAACTGAGTTGTTGTGATCTGGGGGTGTGCTGACTGAAATTGAAATGGAAACAGAATTACAACTAACTTTCAGAAGAGAATTGAATAAATAGCTGAAGGGAAACAAGATGCAGGAATGGGAAAGAGCAGGGATCTGAGAAGAATGGAATTCTGCTTTGAACTCTGTCCTTACCCCAGCTTATCAGTTGCAGAAAACTTCAACCAAGCCTTTGTTACTTCTTCATTTGACTAGTTGACACACTCCTGACTGGTTTCCCATATTCTAAACCCCAAAAACCTGAAGTCATCCAAAACTCTGCTGCTGTGTCCTAACTTACACCGTCTCATTTGACAATAAGACCCACAGTGGATCTGAGACCAGCAACAATCACATTTTAAAATTCTCATTCTTCATTTCAAATCCTTCAGTGACCATGTCCCTTCTATATCTTTATTGTCCCCTCAAGCTGCACAAGCTTCTTTGATCCCTGTGATGTTTGAATTCTGGCTTCTTGAGTATCCTGGATTTTAATCCCTCCACTGTTGGCAGTTGTGCCTTCAGCTGCCAAGGGTATAAATTCTGAAATACCTTCACTAAACTTCTCCACTCTCTATCTGTTTCTCCTCTCAGATATACCTCAAAACCTAACTATTTGGCCAAGTCTAAAAACTCTTCTAATCTTGCTGGAAACAGAGACATGTTGCTGAAATGGTCTTATGTTGAACTCATGGGAGTGAAAGGCAAGAATGCCAAGTTGCAGATGGTTACAGTTGTGTATACTAGAGGATAAAAGACTGCTCTTAGGCAGCCTAGTCACTAGACATTGTGTGCAAACAAAATAAATATGTTGACATTTCTCAGAATTACCCAGCAACATGATCACGTAGTCATACAGCACGGAAGTAGACCCTTCGGTCCGTGCTGACCAGACATCTCCATCTGACCTAGTCCCATTTGCCAGCCTTTGGCCCATATCCCGCTAAACCCTTCATATTCACATACCCATCCAGATGCTTTTTAAATGTTGTAATTGTACCAGCCTCTACCACTTCCTCTGGCAGCTCATTCCATGCACACATCACCCTCTGTGTGAAAATGTTACTCCTCTTGTCCTTTTTATATCTTTCCTTTCTCACCTTAAACCCTTCTAGTTTTGAACTCACCTACCCTGGGAAAAAGACCTTGGTTATTCACCCTATCCATGCCCCTCATGGTGTTATAAACCTCTATAATGTCACACCTCAGTCTCTGATGCTGTAGGGTACAAAACCCCAGCCTATCCAGCCTTTCCCCTACAGCTCAAACCCTCAAACCCTGGCAACATCCTTGTAAATCTTTTCTGAACACTTCCAAGTTAACAACATCTTTCTAAAAGCGGCCTAACCAATATCCAGTACAGCCACAACATGACGTCTCTACTCCTACACTCAATGCACTGATCAAGAAAGGCTAGCTTACCAAACACCTTCTTCACCAGCCTGTCTACCTGCGATTCCACTTTAAAGGAACTATATACCTGCACCCCTCTGTCTTTTTGTTTGGCAACACTCCCCAGGGTCCTACCTTAACTAAAATTCCTGCCCTGATTTGCCTTACCAAAATGCTACACCTCATTTTTTTTTAATTAAACTCCATCTGCCATTCCTCGGCCCATTGGCCCACCTGATCAAGGTCCTGTTGTACTCTGAGATAACCATCTTCGCTGTTCACTACACCTCCAATTTAGGTGTCAACTGCAAACTCACTAAACATCCTCCTATATTCACATCTGAATGATTTATATAAAAACAGTGGACCCAGCACTGATCCTTGCAGCACCCCACTGGTCACAGGCCTCCAGTCCAAAAAGCAACCCCCTACCACTATCCTCTGTCTCCTTCTTTCAAGCCAATTTTGTATCCAAATTGGCTAGTTCTCCCTAGATTCCAAGTGATCTAACTTTGCGAAACAGTTTACCAAGCAGAATTTTGTTGAATGCCTTGCTGAAGTCTATATAGACAACGTCTAGCACTCTACCTTCAATCTTATTTGTCACCTCTCAAAAAAATGCAATCAATTTATTGAAACATGATTTCCCACACACAAAGCCACGTATCCCTAATTAGTCCTTGACTTTCCAAATACATGTAAATCCTCTCCCTCAGGATTCCCTCCAACAACGTGCCCATCACTGACGTCAGGCTCATCGGTCTATAGTTCCCTGGCTTTTCCTTACAGCTGTTCTGAAATAATTGCACCACACAAGTCCACCCTTGGGTGACTGTCTGTGTGGAGTTTCACGTTTTCCTCGTGTCTGTGTGGGTTTCCTCCGACAGTCCACAGATGCACAAGATAGGGTGGATTGGCAATGGTAAACTGTCCGTAGTGTCCAGGGGTGTACAGGCTAGGTGGATTAGTCATGGAAAATACAGGGTTACGGGGATAGGATAGGGGAGTGGGTCTCAATAGAATTCTCTTCGCAGGGGCTGTGTGAACTCGATGGGCCAAATGGTCTGCTTCCACACTGTAGGGGTTCTATGAATAGTCATCCTCCAGTATTCTGGCACCTCACCCATGGCTGTCGATAATACAAGTATCTCAGCAAAGGGCCCAGCAATCTGCCCTTAGCCTCCCCCAAAGTTCTGGGATACACCTGACCAGGTCCCAGGGATTTATCCACCCTTATGCATTCTAAGACCTACAGTACCTCTTCCTCCGTAATACGGACACTTTTCAAGACATCATTATTTATTTCCATGTCCTTCTCCACAGTAAATACTGACATGAAATATTTGTTTAGTATCTCACCCATCTCTTGTGGTTCCACACATAGATGGCCATGTCAATCTCTAAGGGGCCTATTCTCTTCCTAGTTAATCTTTGCCCGTAATGTACTTGTAGAATCTCTTTGGATTCTCTTTAATCCTATTTCCCAAAGCTATTACATGCCCCCCTTTTCTCCTCCTGATTTCCTTCTTAAGTCTACCCCTATTGCCCTTATACTCCTCCAGGGATTCACTCGATCCCAGCTGGCTGTACTTGACATGTGCCTCCTTTTTGTTGACAAGAGCCTCAATTTCTCTCGTCATGCAGCATTCCCTACACCTACCAGCCTTGCCCTTCACACTAACAGGAACGTACTGTCTCTGAACTCTCATTATCTCATTTTTAAAAGCCTTCCACTTCCCAACTGTCCCTTTACCTGCAAATACCCTCCCCCAATCAACTTTTGAAGGATCCCGCCTAATACTATCAAAATCAGCCTTACTCCAATTTAAAACTTTAACTTTTAGATCAGGTATAGCCTTTTCCATTACTATTTTAAAACAGATAGAATTGTGATCACTGGTTCCAAAGTGCTCCTCCACTTCAGTCAATTGCCTCGCCTTATTTCCCAACAGAAGCATGTAGAGCCTAAAGTTACCAAATGCTTTTTCTATGACAATGCCTTTGGCCAATGAAATTTGACTTGCCAACCAATCAACACCATTCTGGACCTGAAACATTAACTCTGATTTCTCTCCACAGATGCTGCCAGACCTTCTGAATTTTTCTAGAAATTTCTGTTTTGCAATTGAAACCAACCAACACCCTTTGCTCCTGTTGTACAAATTGTTCTGAACATTTGAAAATTGGCTTTTTCATATCTCTCCTGATGAGTGCTCAGGGAAAAGCTTTGGCAATGTGTCTGGCTTTAACTTTGGGCTGGACTGAGCTGGCATAGACTGGACCAGGTTTCGTGGGCTGTGTTGGCCTGGTTTGGACTGGGCGGGGTTGATTTAGCCCGGCTTAGGCTAGTTTAGGCTGGTTTGGGCTGGCCTGGTTTCTTCTGGCCTTGCCTGGTTTGAGCTAGTTTGGCCTGGGCTGACCTGGGCTAGTTTTGACTTGGCTAGTCTGGGCTTGTTTGGACTGGGCTGAGCTGGGCTGGTGTTGGTTTGGACTGGTTTAAGCTGGTTTGAGCTGGTTTGGTCAGGTACTTACATCCTGCAGCATCTTCTCCAAATTCTCCTGTAACTCGAGAAAGTAGCGGGAAGTGATGAGGGCGTTTTGTGATTTCTCCAGACAGTCTCGGGCCAGTTCAATGATCTGATGGTGGATGAACCCAAGCACTCCATCTGCAAGTGGCAGGACACTGCTGGGTGAAAAGCTGCTGATAATGTCCTGAAGTCGTTCCTCCATTTGAACTGTAGCCTATCACCAGTGAAAGAGAAAAACCATCCAGTTAACACTTATTTCCAGTGAGTGGATAAAATGTGCCAAAAAAAAAAATCCCAGTAGAGGCTGAAAAGGGCAACAGTGGGATTTTGGCAACACTTTGCAGTCAGCCTTTTTCTGTATTAATAATATACCAGAGATTTAAACTTAAATCCAGGTAAGGGGCTGATGGCACTAACTGGCATCACAGTAAGAGGCAGAGAAGCAGTTCCCCAGTGACAGAATTCAGGAATTATTGCTGCTTACAACCTGCAGTAACGATTTGAGCTTTGAAATCAAAGCTACAGATGAATTTTACCGGAGATCAGTTACGTGTCAATGTTGGTGAGTTTACAGAGTGTATCCCTTGTGGTGGGAACAGGGACGTCACTATGATTCAGTTTATGTCCTTTTCCCTTTGGTAGCTCACCTTAGGAAAGCGTTCTTTGTAAACATGGTTCATCATCACAATCTCATTATCAAAAGAGACTGACGACCGGCCAGGACTGTGAGAAAATAGAAATAGTAAAATGTTCTGGGTGTTAGAGGCAGCATCAATAATATTACCCATAGGGTTAAAACAAATCCCTACATGACAGGCAGCTGAGAGACAGAGGGAGCAAGGAGGTACAGAGTGGGAGGTTCCATCATCTCTTGACTCCCCTTAATGTAAGGCATAGAGCTTTGCTGATCCTTGGCCAACTGAGGTCCTTCAATAGCCAATATATGGCTGACTAAAAGCCTCTACTCACCACCATTGGCAGGAAAACTGATGGCTTGTGTAACCCCTAGTCAAGCACTCAGCACCCAAACAGCAAGGGTCACGCCTACAGAAAAATATCACCACTCTTAAAACAGCCTCTGCCACTTCTCAAACCCTGACAAGGCAACTCACTGATGTGGTACTCCAGGCCTCCTTTAGTACCATTAGTGGCCATAGCTTTGGGAGGTACAGTTGGTACTGAGGAGTTACCAAGCTCTGATTAACATATGATATTCACTAAGAACAGAAGGAGGCTATGCAATCCGTCAAGTACATCCCAGTTCTCTGAAAGCAATCCAGTCAGTTCCATGTAACCATCCATATGGACATGCAAGTTCAATCCCCTCAAAACCTCATCCAAATTGTTTTTGAATTCATGGATCATCTCTGTCTCCACCCTGCTGATGGGCAATAAGTTTCAGGTCATTATCACACACCACTTAAACATTCCACCTCCTGTCACCCTACATCTTCTGCCAAAAACATTAAGTTTGTGTCTCCCTTTACCATCAACAAGAATAGTTTGTCTTTGTGAGCTTATCAGAGACTGTCACACGTCGATCAAATCTCCCCTCAATCTTCTTTGCTTAAAGGAGAACATGCCCTCATTGTCCAGCCTGATGGGATAGTTAAATTCATAGAATCAAAGAATTTTAAAGGACAGAATGAGGTCATTCAACCCATTTTGTTTGTACTAGGTCCTGAAAGAGCTGCCCAACTTATCCCCATCCTCCAGCCCTATTTTTGTCACCCTCTAACTTCATCCCTTTCAAATATATATCCAGCTCTGTTTTGAAACCTTCTTTAGAATCTACCTCCACCACTTTCCTTAGCAACACATTCCAAATCCTAACACCTCTCTGAGCAAAGAAGTTTCTCCTCATCTCATTCCTAGCTCCTCTTTTTCGGAAAATAATCTTCCCTCTTGAGCATCTTAATTTGAACATGCCTCTACTGCACTTTCAGGCAACACAATCCAACCCCTAACCACTCACTGCAGGAAAGTTTCTTTTCATGTTGCTATTTCTCCTGTTACCTATACCTTAAATCTGCACTGTCTCAATCTCAGCCCTTCAACCAGTTTCTCCCCTCTACAATGTCAAGCCCCCTCATGTTCTTGTATCCCTTAATCAAATTTCTTCTCTCCTAGAAAAATATTCCCAAATTCTCAAATCTAACTATGTAAATGGAGTTCCTCATTCGTGGAACTATTTTCTGCGCATCTCTAAAACTTTCACATCTTTGCCTAAACTATGGTGCCCAGTAATGGAAACAATTCTCCAGCTGACACCAAACCACGTCATAATTGCTGGTTCGACCAGCATTCATTGCCCATCCCTAATTGCCCAGATGGCAGTTAAGAGTCAACCACATTGCTGTGGGTCTGGAGTCACATGTAGGCCAGACCAGGTAAGGATCGTAGATTTCCTTCCATAAAGAGCATTAGTGAACCACATGGGTTTTTCCTGACATTTGGCAAATAGTTTCATGGTCATCATTTAACTCTTAATCCAGCTTGTTATTGGAATTCAAATTCTAAATAACACAATATTAACATAAATTCCTTGTTCTTGCTCTGTGACCCCATTAATAAGGTTTTGGAAGCCATATGCTCTACTAACTGCTAACTCAAGCTGTCTGGTGACCTTCAGTGATATAAACTGATATGTGCATAGATCCCTCTGCTTCTGCAGCCACTTCAGAATTATGACCTTTCTTTTCGAATGTCGCTCCGTCATCTTCCTTCCAAAATGAATCACTTCTCTGCAAATCCCATAAATCTTGTCAATGTCCTCCTTATCCTCCTCACAGTTCACAGTATTTCCAATCCTCTGGAGTCACACCCATACTTAGGGCTGATTGGATGATAATTATCACCACCCCCACATCCTTTAGCAGCCAAAATGGAAGTCCTGGTCACTAATCCATTCAAAGCAGAACATCCAGAACATCCTTCCTTTCAATTTCACCCATGACCTCAGTCATTAGGGACTCTGAATTAGTCATCGTGTAACATTACCAGTGTCTTGGACTCCTCTTTCTGCCAATATTTTGTCAGCATATCTTTTCATAGTAAATACTGATTCAAAGAACAAGCCTCACTGGGTAAGGTAACTCTCTGTTGATTCCGTTCTGATCTATTTATTCATAGTCAGAGATTCACTCGTAACGTTTTCTCTTTCTGCTCCTACACAATTCCCTCTGGTGCCTGAAAAATTGATCCTGGGCCATTCCTAATTCTCATCAACAAGCTGCCCCTCGGTAATATCATCCAAATGCAGGGCATTAATTCCCCACACCAAACTAACAACAAGCAGCAAATGACTGCCCGACTGTCAATTCTCTCAATTCCATGACTCTGGTTCAATTAGCAAACTGCGTATCTGACACAACAAGGTGCAGAGCTGGATGAACACAGCAGGCCAAGCAGCATCATAGGAGCCTTCCTGCTCTTATGATGCTGCTTGGCCTGCTGTGTTCATCTAGCTCTGCACCTTGTTGTCTCAGATTCTCCAGCATCTGCAGTTCCTACTATCTCTGCATATCTGACAGCCAGATGTGGACAAGCATAAATGTTTCTCAACTAACCATTGGAAAAGCTGTAGACATTGTCTTTAACCCCACTCGATATTCCATCTCCTCATTACCGACTCATCTCTTTGCCTGGCAACACTCTCAGATTAAGCCAGTTTGTTTATAACTCTCGTCATTAAGCCATAGAGTCATAGAGGTTTACAGCACAGAAAAAAGCCCCTCGCACTATCACACACATGCCAATCAAAAACAGCCACCTAACTACTGTAATCCAATTTCCCAGCACTTGGCCCATAACCTTGTCTGCCTTGGTGACGCAAAGGTATAGGCAGTGAGTTCCACATTCCCACCACCATCTGGGTGGAAACATTCCTCCTCATATTTCTACTAAACTGCCCGTCCCTTACTTTAAATCTATGCCCCAGTCACTGATCCCTCCACCAAGGGAAAAAGCTCCTTTCTATCTGCCCTATTAATGGCCCTCATAAGTTTATACATCTCAGTCATGTCCACCCTCTGTCGTTTCTGCTCCAAGGAAAACAACCCAGTCTGTCCAATCTTCCTCCGTAACTGAAACTCTCCAGCCCAGACAATATCCCGGTAAGTCACCTTCACACCCTCTCCAGTACAATCATATCCCTCCTATTAAAGTGGGTTCCAGAACTGTATACAATACCCTAGCTGTGGCCTAACCAAATTTTTATACAATTCCAGCCTCACCTCCCTGCTCTTAAACTCAATGCCTCAGTTAATAAAGGTGAGCTTCTCATATGCCTTTGTAACCATTTTATCCTCCTGTGGACATGCAAACCAAGGTCCCTCTGATCCTCGGTGTAGTGAATGGAACAAGGTTAGCCAGATGGACCTCAGAGAATGTGAGCTCTCTGTTTGAGGCTGTTAATCTGGTCCAATCAGGGAGCCCTGTCTGACAGATATAAACAGGAGTGTCAGAGGTTCTGCTCACTCTGAGAGCTGGCTCTGAGGAAGCTGGATCAGTGTCAAGGACTCTCCACGTGTAGATGAAGGGTGATTTGGTGATGGGATACTCATCTCTGTGGAGTTATTTCACTCAGTGCTTCCCAGGGTCATACTGCTCATCATGTATTCTCTCGCTTTGTTTGTCCTGCCCAAATGCATCCCCTCAAACTTATTGCCACTGATTAACCAGTCTGACTGGCACATCCATATCCTCCTGTAATCTAAGGCTATCTTTCTCACTATTTACCACCCTACCAATTCTGTATCATTTGCAAGCTTCATAAAGAACCCTTCTACATCCTACCTGAAATTATTTACATAAACCACAAACAGCAATAGCCCCAGCATTGACCCCTCTGGGAGCCAGTGGGCACACACTACCAATTGGAAAAACACCCTTTAAACATCACCCTCTGCTTCCTGCCACTCAGTACCATTTTTGATCCCAAGTTGAGACTCTGGCCTCTTCATTTCATCGCAAAAGCTTCCTATCTCCACACTTGTAACATTGTCCCTGACTGAGCTCATCTGCTGCTAAGGTGCTCACCACATCTTCGTTACCTCTTGGTTTGAGCGTTCAAATACATTCTTGGCTGGTCACCCAAATCCCATCCATCCCTACACTTGAGGTCATCTAAAACTCTGCTGCCCATGTTTTAGCTTGTACCAAGTCCCATTACCTATCACTTTGGTATTCGTTAATCGACAAAGCTTCCTGTCAAGGAAGATCCTGATATTAAAAGAGGGTGAGAGGACTGAGGCAGACTTCCTGCACATTCTGTTTCCACAACCAGAAAACGCTACAGTTTTTGGACCCGGTTCCTAGAAAACCTGATTGCTCCCAGAATGAAAATCCCAATTTCAGGGAAAATTTTCCCAAAACAGTTTTGCGGAAACAGGAAATGTCCCAAATCTGTGTTTCTGACTCAGAAGCAAAACCTCAGGCCTCTGTGTTCAATTACAACAGGGTGTGAAGGTGCTGTCATTTGAAAGACTCACACTGTTTCTTTTACTTTCTTCTGTTCTCAGAGATAGTAGGAACTGCAGATGCTGGAGAATCCGAGACAACAAGGTGCAGGGCTGGATGAACACAGCAGGCCAAGCAGCATCATAGGAGCAGAGAGGCTGACGTTTCGGGCCTAGACCCTTCATCAGAAAAGGGGGAGGGGAAGGGGGTTTTGAAATAAATAGGGAGAGAGTGGGAGGCGGATAGAAGAGGGATAGAGGAGAGGATAGGTGGAGAGGAAACAAACAGGTCGAAGAGGCGGGGATGG